TCAGAGAGTGGAGTCCATGTATGGACATGGCAGTTCTGTCTCGTGGTACTTCACCACCCATAGATGACTTTATAGCTTTTCTTTGCAGCTTTCAGGCTTACCTTTCTTCTTGTTTTTTCTTCATGTAGTGTTATAAATTCTATACCAAATTAATCACATTATTAAATACAGCACACATAAAATTATATACTCGAGAAAAAGTTTAAGCGTGGCCTGAAAATTTCTATATCTGCAAACATAAATAAATTCAAGCGCTGTGGAAAGTTTTATTTCTGGGCTGAATCGGTAGAAATTAGATGCCAACCAGCTTTTTGTTAGCATTTCCAAACCCTAAAAGGATATTTGGACCGAGCAACTAGATACATACACCCACGGGGCCGAAGGATCAAAACATGCCTTAATAGAGAAAAAGAAATTTTTATATGAAGTTACTGGCATTAGTGTACGGGTAGAAGGTGTTTTTTAATTGAAAATTGATTAAAATAATGTTTTTATTTATATTTAGTTTTAATTTTTTATAATTATATCTATTAAACTATAAAAAATATTTATATAGTAATACCTTGAAATTAGATTTAGAAGAAAAAACAAAATCGGTACCAATAGTTAAAAGAGGAAAAATAGAGGGAGAGTACAAATTAAGCAGGTCGGGAAGGGTCCATCCCTGGCAAAAGACCGAGAAACAACATCACTGCAGCAATATGATGACAAATATGCCTATATCAGAAACAATCCTAGCTGCTGTGTAATGATTTCAAGTTTGAACTACGAAGAGATGCGGACAACGTAATTTAGATCATATCCATTCTCAGTCCTTTATTACTGAACTAATGTCTCCTCGACAGAGATAGAAATTGGTCCCTCCTTCATTCACACATCTATACTGTTCTCCAAATCTAAGAATCTCCAACGTTTGTCCGATATATGGCAGGCGGAACTGGAGTCTGAGATCAGTCGATTATATCTGTCAAAAGGAATAGGAAAACTATCACAGCTTCGCAATAAAAGGTGGACGGGAACACTCAAAAATATGAGAGAAAGCAAGGTGCGCTATCATGACAACTTTTGAGCAGAGTCTGAGACCAACAATGATACATCCTTGGACCAGGGTTTTTTTTTTTTTTTTACCACTTTGAATCTGAACCTTTTCTTGTTGTTTGTATTCTCTTTCTAAGCAACCACCCCACCCCAAGCCCCATACAATCCAACAAAAATAAAGGCTTCTACTGTTCAACTTATAATCTTGTATGGCATTTGAATTAAAGATGAGTCTAGAATGCTTAAGTTTTGGAGAAATCCGCAATGCCAGTGCCAATCCGCCCACCACCGGAGTTGAAGACAAAGCAAAACGGCCGGCTAAGAGAGAGAGAGAGAGAGAGAGAGAGAGAGAGAGAGGGAGGGAGGGAGTGTGTAGGCATTGTAGCAGCCCCTGTGAAATAATTTCGCTTCCCAAAGATAAATCAAAACAAGGAGATCCACATCTAAACATTTCGTAGTACACAAAGTTCCTAGAGAACATAACCTCCCTAGAAAGGGTAATGCCTACAAGCTAAGTTCCACCAACTTGCTACTCAAGGGTGGAAAACAACATTACAGTTCATTGTTGATTTAAGATCATATTCATGAAAGGAAAAACTCAGTCTATTCAACACTAGACATACAGTTGGAAGTGGCATCCTCTTGGATCCGACCCACCATCTCATGCACAGCTGCTGCAATCTCATCAACTGAAGTCAATTTACACTCATCTTCAACCTGCCCCAAAATCAAGCACAAGTTTTGATATTCATTTAGTTCACGAAATTTTAATTTTTTCAAGAGAGGAAAAAAATATTCTATGCAAATTAATATTCAGCTAAAAAGATCATTTGGCATCATTTAACTTCAATTGGATCGAATACAGTAGTCGTAAAAGTAGAGATTAAAGTGTAAAACTTCCTTTAAATATTTTTATCAGATAAACGCAGAAATCAATTTAAGTATCAAAGAAGGAAAAAAAGAGGAAGAAGATTAGTACTAACCTTAACACTAAAAGAATAGAGCGCCATCTGATCAACAGTTGTGACATTTAGATGAAGAATATGAAGGCCAAGAGAATGCAATCCAGTAACCATCTTCAAGAGCTGTTTTGGGTGTTTTCTAGATTGTATTTTGAGGTTTGCATGGCTTTCTGTCATTGTTACTTCAACATCCGCAATGGCTATTGATCGCTTCTGATCAGCAAATATTGATTCGGTACTTGATGATGAGTTGTTGTTGCTATGTTTATTCCTCGAGCTCGCAGTTGAATACTGAGGGAAGGTGAAAAAATCCGAAAAAGGAGAAGAGAAATCGGAGCCCGTAGCAGATATTACTTTCTTGATTTGCTTATGGGCTTCAAGAGATTGGAGAAGTTTCTCTAGCTCCTTCACAAAGTTAATGGCTCCCCCTACGATTGATGCTTGATCTGCCTGCACCAATAATAAAAAAATCAATCATAGTGCTCCATGAAATAAAATGAAGACATAATTACAACCCCCAGAAGGTTGATGATGGCATCGATATTCTTCATCGGTTGGTAGCGGAGAGGTTTAAATCTCTTGTAAGCACTAGGTGCAATCACTTTTTTCAAGAGAGAGAACTTTCAGTAAAGAAAGAAAGAAAAAAAGTTACCAAGCCTTCACGGGCAGGCCACTCGAGGCCTAATTGTTTCTCAATAATGAGATGGATTGAGAAAGTGTTTTCTCACAGAAGGTTTTAGTGGCTGTAAACAATTCCCCAAAATGTCATGTTTGTGAATGCAAGTACAAGCTTTAACCTAAAACAAGGTGCCGTGTATAGCAGTTTAATGCTTTAAGAGTTTATCCGACAAAGTGAAGTGGATCAGAATTTCTCTTAATATATATATTTTTTTAACAGGAATTCAATCTTTTCAATAATAAAAGGAGGAAAGAAATAAGCAAAAGCATTCTTACCCTTTGAACATAAGAGGGAGGCAACATGGATCGAATAACAGCAAGATATTCATTCATTTGCTTCCTCCGATTGCGTTCAACATTAATGTGAGTCATCCTTTGATGTGCAACTTCTGCCTCATCTTTGATGCTTCGACGGCGCCTTCTCTTTCGCCGGCCCCCAGCAGCATTACCTCCGTTGAGAAGCCCGCCATTACAGGCACAGTTGATCTCTTGGGAGGAAGAGTTATTGATGTTCCAGTTACTATTTGAATGGAAATCAGATTCAATGCTGATTGTTGTGTCTAGGGTTTCATGGTAATTAGCCTTTTCTCCTTCAAGGTCAAAGCCATGGATCCATGTTGCACCTAGTCCTAAAGTACTATAGGGATCTTGTTGGAATACAACAGTTTCTAATGCCATCCCTTCTCTCTCTCTCTCTCTCACACACACACACACACACACACACACCCTCTACAGTAACAAAAGATCTAGAGACTGACAATAATATTGAATCAAGAGGTTTCCTTCAGATGAAATACTTGATAACAAACTGAGAAATCAAGGCCTCAGGTGAACAAAAGAGAACACAAGGACAAAACAAAAACCTTGAAAGGCTCAAGAGTCATTTTAACTTATTTTGTTCAATCTCAACAGACCAATAATTTCAAAGAACATTGAGTTTGTGGCTCTCTTTCATTTATGAGGGAGAGTCGCACAGTAGCTTTCTTTTAAAAGGAAAAAATTTCGTCGGGCATGGTTTACGAATATGCATTTTCAACACCAAGTGGCATGACAGATTTTGTATGTTTTGCTTCAGATATGATTCTCTTCCCCACACTAATATATTTGATGTTTGAGGTCTTCGTTTACTGGAAAAATTTGGTGTTTTCGATTTTGTTTTTGGATTTTAATTGTCCTTTTTTTCTAAGTTAAAAAATTGCTAAATTAAGATATGCAAAGATATGCCCTTCTTCAATTGAGGTGATAATAGAACACAACTATTATTTCTATTATCCCTTTTTGTTCTATATTTATATTATCCTTTATTCCTTTACATTTCATTAATCCAAAAACGTTGAATTGTTTTTTTTAAAAAAAATTAATCCAAAAACGTTGAATTGTTTTTTTTTTTTTTAATTTTTCAGCTTCGCTTGAAGCTGAATTGAGTGCCCTGTATCAAGTTAACGCACCCCAACTATATAGGAATTTAAGATTATTTGGAAAGCTAATATATATATATATATATATATATATATATATGAATACATATTATTATTATTATTATTACATCAATAATCCGTTTTAATTCATGACGGAGATCATTTAATTTATTTCTTATTTTTCATGGGAATATTATTAAGATTCTAATTAATCAGCATTTAAAGTAAGAATTAGAAAGGCTAACTTTTAAGTTGTGGGTACTTGTGGTTTTCTCCACTTTTTTTTCCATAGATTCATTATTAAATTCTTATCATACTTTATTAATTTATCCACACTAAAGAGACTTAATTTGCTTCCTCCAATATTGTTGTATTAAATTTCAATTATGATAAATTTTTATTATTAATAATCTCTCTTTCTTCATTTAATAATCACTAAAGAGATTTAATTCTCCTGTGTTCTTGCTTTAACCCAAAAAATATATTTATTATTGGTAAAAAAATAACAAAATATTGCCAATAATGAGTACTAGAAATAAATGCTAACCAAATACATCCTTTCTAAATGAGTAGTAGAAGCAAGAGTTTCATTTGCCCAAGTAAAGCATTTTAAAACCTTCAAATTAGGACACATTATAATTGTTTAAATGAAAACAAAAGCTTCCTCGTAGAAACAGCTACACACATGTGCTCGATCACATGACGAACTACTTATTATGAATAATAATTTCTTATTTACTATAATAAACTCATCTTTTATACAGATATTTCCAAGGAGCCATTTATATTTTTTAGGGATATATTTTTTTTTTAAAAAAATTGTAAGACTAGAAGGACTAAATATTAACTTGAATTTTAGGAGGGCCGAAGCATATAAAAATTGGATCAATTAGTACGGACACTGATTAATTATATATATTGCTCTTTTATTCGATTTATTTCTAAATTGAACCTGAGACTTACCTAAAGAATCTTAGACCCATCAACCCTAAGTAAATGTTTAACAGCTTGATATCTAGTTTACCAACTTGCACTATTAATAATTTCCCTACAGCAACTTGCCCTAGAGGAGTTGAATGTTGTGATGAAGAGATAGATCAGGTTCTCTCTTTTTTTTTTTCTTTTTTTTCCACGAGTATTTAATATTACACGAAGAGAGAAAAATTGTTTATGAGGCGCAAATCTTTTGAAATCTTTCTAATTGTTGAAAGATTTGTTTCTTCATTTTTAATTTGTTTGACCAATATACTTGTTCCATTAAAAAACTTGTGTTCGGTGTATTCTTTTTCTATATTTCTTAGAAATAGATGCTTTCTCCACTTTTATTACGTTTATTATTATTTTTTCAAAATTTTAACTGGACTTGTTTTCTGGTTTTTCTCCCTTATTATTTTGGTATTGACAAAGGATTTTAGCCAAAGTAGGAGCCATATATATAATTCTTTCACCACTCTTTGCTGCCAACATTTCTTTCTCTTTATAAATTATAATCATTATAATCCTCATCAAATAGCAATATATACTACCATCTCATCACAATTATTAACACCCTTTATTTTTATATTTAAAATTATGTTTATGTGTATTTTAAAAACATGTTCGGTTTACAAAAATATCAAATTAATATTTTTTAATAATTTTAATGTATTAATATTAAAAGTTTTAAAAAAATAATGAAATAAATTAATTTCATGCATTTTCAAATTAAAAATACTTTTAAAAAGCAATTTACACCTACAATATCAAACACACAAATGATCATCTAATTATGCAGCCATCATCATCGACAAGTTATCACTTTGTTATTTTCATTAATACACTCATTATTAATTACTACTAAAAGCTTAAAAATCCATGAACACAAAAGAAAAAATATGTATTCACAGATTATTTATTTAAAAATTAAAAATAAATAAATAAAAACAAAACTCCTGAACATATGAAGAAGCTACATGTAAACGAAAGCATTATTACCGATGACCATGAGCTTGAGAGTTGTGACTTGTTCACTTCGCTAGCAGTAATGCATGGTTAATTAAATTAATTTCCAGAGCCTATACTGCTTTCATTTTTATTTTTGTTTTCATAAAGAACCATTTGACATAAACAAGAGTCTAAAGAGAGAACAGTGGGCAAAATATGTTAGATTAATTAAAGCAAGCTGGCAAGGAAACAGCAAGATGTCAGGAGTTGTCTCTGGCAGAGAATCCATGTGACCAAACAAAACAAAGTATAGTTCTCGATCCTCTATATTATAGAATGAAGGTCACTCCCTTTCCAAGAATCAACTTACCGTATATGTACGAAGAAACTCCCGTTTATACATGTATATACGCTACTGCCATGGAAAATCAATATCTTTTTCAAATTCCAAGTTATATATAAGCTCACTTGTAATTAGATTCCGATTACTGTGATGATTTATTTTTCATTTTGTTACAAATTGTAAAATTATATTAAATTTTAAGATTAAATCTAGGTTTCATTCAAAATATTTAAATCTATAATTGGTACTTCGATTGTAGGCCACTTCCAATCGTTATATGGCTTCTTCTTTTTTTCAACTTTTTGCTGCACTTTGCTGGTGTGGTTCACCTTTGTATCTCTTCTTAGTCCCCAAGCGAAGGAAAGAAGGAAATGAGAGGCAGAGAGGACTCTTCGGAGTCTTCTCCATTTGGCTCTTTGGTCCAATGGTGCTCTAATGAACTTATTATGGCTAATAAAAAAATCAAAAAATAAAAAAACCAAAAAAAATAAAATCTTTGGGATTCTTTTCTCCGGTGGATTACAAAAGCTCTCATGAACTAGCTAGCTTGTCATTTATTTCTAAAATTAACAATGTATATATTCAATCAAAAGGGATGTGTGAATTGTTATTGACCTATATATACACTAAATTGGTAGTCTGCATGACACCACGACTATACCAAAAAATATTTAATAGGAAATACAAAAGTTTAGGAGACACTTATGTTTTTAAAGAAATAAGAGAAATTTAATAATCAAATTAAATCTTAATTGATTTGATATAATATGATAAAAATATAAGGCAATAAAAAAATAAAAATAAAAATAGCAATAAAAAATGAGGGTTAAAATCATAAAAAAAAGATAAAATAAATTAAAGGGTAATAACTAATTTTTAATTTGAGAGTTAAATTGAAAAGAATAAAAACATTAAAAAAATGATATAAATAAAAAGAATAAAGACCAAAATAAAATAAAACAAAAAACAATGAAACTTTTATAAAAGGATCAAATAAAAAAAATAAAAAATCATAAGAATAAGGATCAAATCTAAAACATCAAAACATAATAAAAAAAATTAAACATGCAAAAATTTTCAATGTTTTTTACATCAAAAGATTCCAGGTGTAAATTAAAAAATTTATGCACGAATTTAACTAAATAAATCAATAGCCACTACGTAAAGAAATAAAAAAAAATAAATAAACAAAAAATCTAAAAAGTAAATATAAATCAAAATATTTAATATTGCAATACAGGTGCACGAATTTAACTAAATAAATCAATAGCTACTACGTAAAGAAATAAAAAAAATAATAAAAAAACAAAAAATCTAAAAGGTAAATATAAATCAAAATATTTAATATTACAATACAGGTAATTTATCTTGTTATGTTTAATGAATTTTTTTATCAAAATAAATTATTAATACAAACTTACATACACATAAAATTTATTGAATAAAATATAAAACATAAACACTATGTAAGGTTGCAGGCATTAAAAATTTTATAAAAAAAATCAATATTAATAAATAATTTAATAAATATAAAATTAAAAAATATATATAAATGACGTATTGAGGGATGGACCCACGTTCTGTTTTGCATGGCAAGTCCGAAAGATACCCTGAATTTTTAGTGGTTTTCGGATAGCTTCCTAAGATTTTCAAATTTTAAATTTAGGATGAAACTCATTAATTTGAGGTTAATTTTCAGGAAGAAAAAATAGTAGTCCTCTCTAAAGTCATCATAGTTTTGCTTTTTCCTTCGAACTATTTTGATTTATATTTAAACTATAATTTTCTATCATCCATGGCAGCAGAAATTCCTCTTGAACACACAAAGCACTCAATATCTTTTAGGCCACCATGTGTTGAATGATATTTATTGTAACACAAATAAATATTTGTAAATCAAAATTAATGATTCATGTATAGTAAATTTACTTTTAGATATGAGACTTTTATTGATTTAGATATTAGAAAGGAATTAATGCTAGCCAATAATGGTGGCTAGAGAGATTCTTATGTGACAGGCAGGAGGACTTCATGCCATCCATGATAGTAAAAAACAATATTATATATTCTTTTTATTATATCATCTATCCCATTTAAGTTCTCATCCAATATATATATATTTAATATTGTAGTTTTGCCTCCAATCATATCGATATACCTGGCAGTTTAAATATTTAATGTCACTTGTATTATTATATGTCAGATTCATTGAATATTAATTAGGTATGTGCTAGTCGATTCTTATAAGTAGAATTTCTCTTTTTCAATCCTCCAGGTCATTTTCTGAGCAATGTCTCATATGCATAACGTCTTGCTATATTTTCTCTAGCTAGTATCTAAATTGTCCTAATT